CAAGGAAGCTGCCCTCCGCCTTTATACGGCGGTGGAGGGCAGCTTCCTTGAAGAAGCGTGAGCTATTCTGCGTCTTGTCGGTAGTAGCTACTTAAGAAACTACCAGTCACTAACCTACCTCACCTCTACACGGCCTACCCCTGCCCGTCCGATAAATAAGTACACAAAGACGTAAAGTCATATCAGCAGTGATAAACATATGACTCTTTGGTCCCATTGCTTGTCTTCCGTAGAAGGTCCATCCTTTGGGGCTGAGGGGTCAACGAACCCGATCGAAATCGAACCCCAAGCACCTGGAGCTCCCTCTGTCTCGTCCTGGAAAAAGGAAACACAACCGGCTCCGCTGGAGCCGTGGTGGGTCCCTCTTTGTTTTGGCCAATCCTCGTGTTGGTCACTCCACGGAATAGCAGACTTGAACAAGTCTGTAGCAGCGCAAATGTCTCAAAGAAACTCTTTTGAGGACATCTTGAGGACCCTTCTCTGAACAATTATACGACTTTTTGAAATGTGCAAACAGGTTCAAACAAATGATGATGACTTGATGACCATGATGCAGCGGCATTGAAGTCTCTATCGGCGGCAAAAATAAAGATCTGAAGGCCCGGCCTCTCCACAAGCCCCTGGGCAAACTCAGGGCTCATCAAGAGCATCACCACATGGAATTTGTGTCAGGTCTTTTCGTTTGAATTCCTTCTTGAAGACACAAGTGTTACACTTGCACCTTGATCGGTTGAGCCCCACAAACAAGTTTGGCGTGCTCTTTCTTGCGCGGAATCTGACACAACTCTCAAGGCCGCTCTGCTTCTTCATCGTGCTTGACAAAACCAACAAGGCCTAGGGTGCAAGGACGCTACTAGGGGCTCCTGGCCTTACTACTAGGAACAAGGATGCTACTAGTAACAAAGGGCATCGCTACGAACGGAGCAAGGAGTCCCCAGCCCCCAGCCTTGAAAAAGATCTGCAACGAAGGATGACAGCTCCTTCCAATGCTCTTCAAACCTTGCTCGCCAAGAAATTCCAAGTTGAATAACCAATAACCGCTTCCAACATATTGATGCACAAAGACCAACAGGTTCGATATTCTGACTCCACATACATAAGTTACATAAGGATATTCTGTGATGCAGTTGCAGTGATTCGTGTTTCTTTTCTTGGCATGCGTGTAGCACCAACCAAAAGGCAATACGCCTTCACCTTGCAGCATAAAGCAAATGCAAGCTTTCTGTTTGTGTGCTTTCTGACTTGCCTAGGAATCCCTTAGATGTTGGGTGCTTTCTGGTCCCACTCCGTTTGTCTCATCTTCTCTCCGAGTGGCTTCTCGTCTTCCGTGGAGGCGCCCAAGCGGCGGTCGACCACGAAGCCCAGGCCAGCACTGCTCCTGGTGAGGCGAAAGAGGCCAAAATGGTGAAAGACTTGTGGATTCCTAAGAAAACAACATCATGGGACAGACCGGAAAAGAAGTGCCCAAGTACTCCAAGAACTCCGTCTATTTTCCCCACATGTGCTTTGTTTTGGGGCTCAGCAACAAGTTTCAAATCATTTCAAGGGTGGTCAACGATCTGAGTCTTTCTATGATCCGTTTCTTTCTTTCCCAAAACATTCGGCAAGTCTCAATGGGCTGGCTACCATCACGTCCATGAAAAACCGTTGGAATATTACTGTGAGATCTCATGCTCCAAGGAGGTGGTGACATATCAGGTTGTGGAGGTCAAGCCAAAGTAGGATGATACAATTCCATACAATTCCCACAATCACATGCTACGCTGCTACACACAGCGTACGCACATACTCACAATCCCACCCACCCACCCACCCGCCCGCCCGCCCGCCAAATCAGGAAAGGAAAAACACACATGGACAGACTCGACCATGCTCTTTAAACATCTTTGACCACGTCCTCCTGCATGTTTTCACCAAGGAAACATAAGGAACAAGATATGACGACTGTTTTCCGCACGAACTGCATGTGTCACCACGTCCGATGGTCACCTCGGCTGAGCGTCCAGGCTGATCGGACAATTTCTTCCACAGGAAGAAGGCCGTGGGGCCGACCACCCAAATGAAGAGCAAGAGCTGGCGCCAGCAGGCGAGACATAGATAGGGTTGTTTGTATTTTTGGGGTTTAAACGCTTTTCATGTGTTTTTTTCTGGATTCAAGTGGAAACCAGGAATGACATTTACAACACATTTGCACACCCATGGCAAACACAGAGGTGCATAAACATACGACAGGAAAGGGGTCTACGTCCAAGGAACCACAAAGGTTCACGAACCTTCGGCACATGGGACTCTGCTTACCCTGCCACGTGCATGAGGGTGTTGTGAACATACGTGAACCACCGGCCGGGCCTTTATCATAGTCCAAAGGGGTCCACTGTTGAAGCGCAATCCCCAAACCACGCATGAAAGAAACAAACCGAAGGGGAACCAAGCATCACGCTGCCGAAGACCTTGGGCCACTATCTTATAAGCTATAGGATGAACTGTGACTGAGAGCCCTTGGAAGACACTGTCCCTGCCCACCCGATCCATCACCACCCACGATGAACACATGTGCGGCGCCTGCAATGACCAATCGAATGCTTCAATCCAATGAGCAATCACCGTCTGTGGCCCGGTTTGGCCTTCGTATCACCATGTCAGTGCGTGGATTGTGGGAAGAAATAAGACATATGCGGCATGTCGGCATATCTTGTTGCCTTCGGATGAAGACTTGATGAGTATACAAGAGGAATCGACGGGTTTGGGGGTTGAAGACGCTGAACCAACTTCCTTCGCCCATCTATGTATCTGTGCTGATTTCCACGATGTAGCACCTTTTACTATTGAAAAACCTCAGGCATGGTGAGACTAAGCCAAATACTAATGTCAGAGCATAGAAGTTCATTTTCTGGCTGGTCTGCATTCCTTAAGGCTCAGTCCTCAAGAATTCCCAGGTACAACGAACAGTGAGACGTCCATGCCGAACGCTTTGCTCTCAGTGCCATGCTTCCACCAGTCCACCAGCTGTCGAACCTTTGTTCCACACCTCAGAGCGAGTCGACGGCACTGCGAACGACGTACAGTACCGATGATTCATGGTCACCGATGCTGCATGGCACGCCATGTACAGCGATGTACGATATACACAGTAGATTAGATCGTACATGTTTTCATAGATCTACTCTACTGTAGATACATACCTGTATCACTGTATATAGCCGTTTCTTTCTTGGAGTGATTTCTCATTGTCGAACTCCTTATTACCGCTGCCAACTCATTACTATCGCTGGCCCATGCGGTACTTGCCAGTGACAAGGTTTGCATGGCTTGCAGCACTCTGTGGGCATTTTCGCGTCGCGAAACAAATGCTTCGCACCTTGCTGCGCAACCAAAAAAGCATCAATCTTTTCCACGGCGCTGATGGGCGTTGCTTTGGCTCTCTTTTCCCTTCAGGTGGTTGAGTGGAACCGGTTGATGGAGCAGCTCGCAAAAGGGCTGGAGAACAGGCACCAGCGACTGCGAACAAAGAGACTCAGGATGACCACAGAGATATATATATATATATAATCATGATTTATTATGATTTATTGGGCGTACTGACGGGATTCATAAACATCCAACTGTCCAACCAACCTGTCATCAAACCCAGGCGATAGATCAGGAGCGAGAAACGAGCAAAGAACGCCGCCATCCCGCGGCGTGTCCAGGGTCCAAAAATTTGGCCAACAACGTGGCGATTTGACAAATAGGCAGTATGCACAGTATATTAGTTATATGGTGTAGTCTGATGTAGAGTATATACATGGTTTCTAACATCTTAACAACCATTGACTCAAGTCTTGCAGTTTAGGCAATCCGACTGACCTGTACTTACCATATGTTTGTACTTTGCTCGTTGTGTCAAAATTTATATAGATGCATGACACTGTTGCAAAGAGGCTGGGAAAGTCGAAACCCGGCTGGGCTTGGGAAGCGAAGAAGATCTTTCTTGACCCTGACCATCTTCAAACTTTCAGCCTGACCCTGACCATCGGTGAAAAAGCTAGAGCTTGGATGGCACCCATAGGGCCATAGCCATTTCATCACGATATGGCAAGATCGATCGCTGCAGTCCCAACCGGGCAGTCGGCATGTCAGCCCAGGGGTTGTTCGCATGTGGGCCACTTTCAACATGCACCCAAACCAAGGTCGATTGGTAGGGCCATCATAGGCTCAATGCCACAGCACCTGCCAGGGATTCCTACAAATACAGCGGATTCTACAAACACAAACACAACAACATTAAAATGTCCAGTCCCGAAGTCCTGTCACCAAGGCACACTCGGAGATCACTGAAAAACTCTTTTTGTAGTTTGTCCAGACCTTGGCACAACATTTCTATCTACGACGGGTGATGTGGGCCACTGGGAGGGAAGCCTCAGTTGCAAGGATGTTGTGTTAATGTAACAATTATGCAAACGTTTCCCACAAGCAACTTGTCTTCATTATGTGAAGCCCATGACTTGATAGCAAACAAACCATAGAATATCCACTTGCTCTGTTCCGTACATATGCACATCAGGCGTGGGTTAATAATTGTCAAATTTGCCAACTTGTTTCGTGATGTTTCGCGGCAACATGCTGCCTCTGATTTGGTGAACAACGTTTATCTACTACGCTACGCAAGTTGCCCTCTTCACTGACTTGTTCGCAAAATACCCAACATTGATCAAAATTGACACCGACAATTTGCGTAGGGGAGCGTGTTGGCGTAAACTACCAGAGCTTACTCGACATGCTATGACTATAAGCTCGACGGTGCACTTTGCTCTCTTCAGGATTGATCAAACACGTTGTCTTCAAAGACTTAAAGGCTGCATGATATCAAATACAGGATTACAGGATGTCAAACCATGTCAAACCCATTGTGCCATCCCTCTCGCAGCAAATTACGACCTGTTTCCTGCAGTAAACATCCGAAACAGAAAGGGACCGCCCTTTCCCTCTTCCCCCCATCTGAATATGTCCGGGTCTCCGGGCACAGTGGACCCACTGTCCCAGGAACTCGGTGGCCTCGTTCAAGAAGCCAGCGAAGGCCAGGAGGATCAGCACCGCCGAGGCCACGGCCGTGAAGCCCTCAGCGTGCACCGGCGAAAAGCGGGGGAGGTCCGGCTTGGAGTTTTCTTCGTTAAGGATCATGATTTCTGGCACGGCACTTAGTTTAAAACATCATAGATCCCTGACCCAAAGCTCCAAGAGCCCAGCCATTGTGGTCGTAGGATTCCCCTGACCTGTCGGCAAGGAATCCGGACCCTTTTGAAAGAGCCATCCTTCACTAAGTGTTACTAGAAGCGTGGCACTTGTTCCTAGTAGCTTATTGTTTCTAATAGCTTCTTGTTACTACTAGTAAGGCACTTGTTACTAGTAGCGTGGCACTTGTTACTAGTGGCACGTCTTGCCCACTTTTCTTTCGTCGGACGACTACAGCGAGGCCACTCGGTGCCCTTCTCAGCGTGTCTCCTGTGTTTCAGCCCGCGACGCCTGCAGCTGTCTGCAACTTAGATGCATCAAGGCCTGCAACACGGGGCGAGGAACCCTCAGGAAACCTGCTTGTAATGATGCGCCACGACCCCTTTAAGTGTGCTAGCTTCGATGCAAAAAAGAGAGGTGCCTACCAACAAACTAAAGTACTAAAGACCCGTGTTCCGGGGTCCTTCCATTGTCAACGGTTTGTTGGCCTCATGCCTGCGCAACTGAATTGTTATCAAACAGGTCACTGAGATAACCTCACCGGACCAAAAACAATAGATCAACCCAGCAGGTCCAAATAACGGAATGCTAAAACCCCACCCGTGAAGCCGGGTCGGTTTGTTGATCCAGCGACGGTGACTAAAGCTCGCCCCGAGTCCTGGATATGCAAGAACCCCAAAAAGTTTGGCATGTGTTTTGGATTGTTTTGGGGTGGATTGATCCACTTTCAAGTCCTACAACCCACACCATCCCATCATCCTGTTCCACCCAACGACCCGGAAGAGGGCTGCTCCATGGCTGAACGCCTGCTCCGCTGCTATCCAACGGCTGCCCCACCGGGATGAAACCAGCACGCACTGTCCCAGTCTCAGTTTGCAGGAGGAATTCTTGGGCTTTCCACTATGGTGACTCGTCTCACTCAACAACCTACTCAAGACTAGTCTAAAGGTTCAAGCAGCGGGTGACGCGACACACACGCGACCCGAGGGCCAAAATCGGTTCCAGCTCCTGAGGCTTGAGCATCAAACATGCCCGGAGGTAAGGTGCGATTCAGCTGTTGCTCTTTGGGATAGAAGCCGAAGAAGAGATAGACCTGGCGTGCCGGGACCCGGAAAAGGATGGAAAAGGTTTCACCCTGCGGTGGATGTTTGGAATGGCAAAGCACGGAACGAAGAACCAGGAAACCGCGAGTTTCTTGGACCTACTGAACTCACCCTCCACTGCCAATCACCTGGGAAGGGTGCCTAGCCGAAGCTCTGGAGCGCAGCCGGATCGGCCAAGCGCGAAAAGCTTCAAGTGCGAGCATGATGGGCAAGAGATCAAAAAAGAAATAAAAATGCATCAAAAAACAAATATAATTCAGGGTATCAAGAAAAAACAAAAATGAATCAATAAAAAAATAAACGGACCCAAACGAGTGGAGGGAAGCGCAATAGTCCAACTCGAAGCAGTGATCAAAAGAAAAACAAAAACGCATCAAAAAAAACAAAAACCAAATCAACCTACACGGATACCTTGGATGGTCCTGTAGGGCCCTTGGGTCGAGACCAACCTATCCACCACAACGGTCGGCCTCTGCCCTCTGTGTTCGGTTCGAAATTGCCAAGAATTCAAAAGATAAGGTGTTTCAGGTTTTGGAGATTCAAGAGGTCACGGTTAAGAAGCAGGGCGCCTACATCTACAAAGATCCAAAGGCCTCGACGTCCAGACAGATCTAGTGTAAAGGTGTAGAGTCTAGAGACCCACAAAATCTTGCAGAGGTTCAGATCCAGCTCTTCCAAAATTTTACTCGCGTGCTAGAATGGAATGGCTTTCTGCCCTCTAACCTTTACTACTGCACATTCGGGTGGCTCACAGAAGGGCGGCGCCGCAGCCGCGCACACGAATTCAACTCAACTGCGCACACGCATTTTACCGGCACTTGTGCCTCATCTGCGCACACACTTGTTAACTCAGCGTGCACACACCCCATCGGGGGGAATCAAGTGCGCACACAG